CAAGAGAGTCTTTCCATAAAGAAGTGCAATAGGATGGACAATCCTGAAGGATCTAGAACAGTGGTGGTGAACCTATGGCACACATGCCACAGTGGGCACACAGCCCTCTCTGTCGGCATGCAAGCCAAGTCACCCCACCACTGCCGCAGCAACTGAGAATCGGATAACAGCACACATAGGGGCCACGCGCATGCTCAGAAAGCAGCGCCAGGCGATGATGTCATGAGCCACAACTCATTAACCGCAACTCGTCTGAGCTTTCTCATTGGCCGGTGAATGCGTTGCCAAGGAGGGAGGGAGGGAGGGAGGGAGAGAGAGAGAGTTGCTTGGACTGCCTGTGAGTTGTTTTTTCTAAACTAAAACCTCAGTTTTCAGGTTTTATTGTAGTGTTGGCACTTTGCAATAAATACATGGGTTTTGGGTTGCAGTTTGGACGGTCTCTAAAACGTTCGCCATCACTGATCTAGAATGTCTTCTCACTCAGAAGACTGGAGCAAATTGACAAAATATTTTATAATTTAACAGTTTGAAGTAACAAAGCCTAACTAATTTTATTTCATATAATTAAAAAGATAATTGATCTTGGCTATCTCACACAGAAATCTCTTATTTATGTTTCCCTTGTTTCATATCAGTGCAATCTACTTTTTACTACTAAATTAAGAAGGTGCTACATTTGCAGAAGTTTCTAATCTACCAAGCTCAGTCCTATGCTTTGCTCTTCATAAACAGAAGTCATTCTCATAAACTCAGAAAGCACAGTGGCTAAGCAGATTTGCTGCCTTGAATAGCCATAATTTATCTAGGTAATTAAAACATAACTGAAGAAATGGCATGCACTTATGAAATACCTTGACAACCAAGGACAAAGAAAATGATTTCTCCCTGTAAACTAAAAAGTTAAACTGCCCTGACATATAGCAAACCAATCTGATCTCAAAGATGGCTTTTCTACCCATTCCATCCTGCTCTAGTGACATTTGTTTTATTGCACCCAATACATTAAATTTAATGGAAGCCACTAAAATGCACTAAAGCAATTGCTCTGAGGCTTAACTCTACTCTCTCTCTCTCCCTCTCCACCCTGCCCACCCCCCCAATAGTTAAGCAGGGATTTTGGGGGGGGGGAGATACAATTATGTGCATGCTCTAAAGCTGTCAAAAGATATTACACAACTATTTCAACTGTAAACTAGTGCACTGTGCACAAAAAGGTATAAACCACTACCACAGCAAGTTATCATCATCCTGGAATTCCAGTGATCCTGGAATTCAAGCTCTGGAAAATGAACACTAACATTCTAAGATGGCTGTCATGTTTAAATGAAAGCCAGATATTTATGAAGTTCAGATGGCATCCTGGAGGGTGTATATGTAATTTTATGTTAACAATGAAGGGAACTTTAGATCTTATTCCTAATATCAGATTATGAATACTAAAAGTGATTTGATCATGATAAATTGTAGCATTGGCTTGGAATAGCTCAGATATACTCATTCCTGCTTAAATGAACTAAAACCATTTAAAGTAACTTTACAATTTCTATTAACTTTGTCACAGGATTCTATACATAACCAGGTATCCAGAGGAGAACAATGGAGCACTTGGAATCATGGTGTAGTTGTGGTGATTTCTGGGATTCATGGCAATTTTGCAGACAACTCCCAGGTTCATTTTTCTTAATGTTAGATAGAAAATAAAAACTAAGCATAAAATATGAAATTAAAGCCAATAGTAAATTAGTATAACTGAGTAACAGAGTTCTGATGCCATTACAGTTTGTGATCATCAAGGCACGCAATCATAGCAAAAGAGGAAAAACAGATTAAGAGTTAATACATGGAGATGAGGTATGAGAATACAAGGTTAACTACTTGAGAATAGTGCAATACAGTAGGATTGCTACAGCAGCTGAAAAGAAAAGCAGCACACAGGTTTCAAACTGAATGTATGTATGTGCCCTAAATGTGCCGCACAAAATCTTAATGATCATTTGAAGTCTGTCACAGTACTGTTTATTCTGGTGTTATGCAATTGTATTATTTCACCATACAATGAAAAAAGTATCTATTTTGAATCAAACACTCTGAGGGTCAGTTACTTCACTATAGGCACACACAGCATGAAAGAAAATAGAGTGAGGGAGCAGGAGAAAACAGATGCTGAAAGGCAAATTAAAGTAGGTAATGTGAAGCAATATATGTATTACCTTTACTCAGATGTATGCTAACGAAATCCCACTGACGGGTTGCAAGTGCTGTCTAGTGGATCTATGTTCATAGTCTGAACTTGGACAGCAGTTTGATTATGATGACTCTCCCTAGTTTTATAAACTGACCAGTGAGACTTTCACAAAATGTAACACTGCAAATCTATCACTTTATCCACAATACTGGCAGTTAAGAGCTGGATAGCTTTTGCACTGACAGCCAATGGATAATCGTATGATTCCTTACTTATTTTTAGGTTACAACACTGGATTTCTTACTAAATTTTAACTGGTGCTGTCCCTATAAAAGGGTGTTCCATGCTTTTGATACAGAGTTGTGACTCACACAAAATGTGTCTCCTTGTTTAGCCAAAACTTGTAACAGGATCTTCTGAATTATTAACATTTTGTCCTATTTAGCAAAGTTATGGTTCAAAACACTGCAATACACATTTTAGCTTAATAATCCCACCAATTTAATAGTTAAAAACAAAACAATTAAGAAAGGTTAAATCAGCTCTCAAAACAGATCCATGTCCTATATCCAAATAAACTCCATTATTCTTACTGCAGAAAAAAGATAAAGACCCTCCAATGATGGACATTTAGAAAGAGACTGAGCCAAAAACAGTGAGGAAGCTCTTCTGTGATTTTTGTGGGAGTCTGGGAAAGGGTGTTCAAGTACTTGGCTATTGCATGGAGGTAGCAACAGGAAAGGCAAGCAAATAATCTACCCTAATACAGTGAAGCAATATCATCCTTGGAAATAGGGACACACTCCATATCCTTCATCCTAGAATTCACAGTGAAGGCAGTAAAGTTGGCTTCATTTTTGTTCAATAAAACCTTTACTCTTAATGTGTGAACTATCATTGGCTGGGCTCAAATGATTGGCTGAGGAAGATGACACAGTTTAAAAATGGTACCAAAGCAACAAGCAAGATGCAGAATCCACAGCTGCAAAGAGATACAGTGGTACCTTGGCTCATGAATGCCTCAGTTCACGACCAAACTGGGTCACGAACAGAAATTTCAGAAAAAAAATGCCTGAGGTCATGAACTCCGCATCGGGTGATGATTGTGATTGCACCCATCTTCCCTGCACAAGCACGATCACGGTCATGCTTGGGGGGGTGGGGAGATGGCTACGATTTGTGCTCATGCAGGGAAGACAGGTGTGATTGCGGTTGTGTTTGGAGGGGGGTGGCCATGATCGTGATTGTGGGGAGGAGATGGCCGCGATCTTTGTTGTTCTTGGTTACTTTGTTGTTCCTTGTCACTTTGTTTCAAATTTTTGTGATAAAAAATGGTTACAGAATGGATTAACCTTATTTACATTGAACCTTATGGAGAAATTTGACTTGGCTCACAAACAGAGTCATGGAACGGATTAAGTTCGTGAGCCAAGATACCACTGTATTTAAAAAAAAAATCAAGAGCTTCACGGAATATTTTGCCCCTAAGTTTTCCCTTCATACCCACAACTGAAACAGACAATCATATATTGCCCTACCACAGTTCCTCTGTTTGGGGCTAATTCCAGAGGGCCCACCTCATCTCCAATGGCTTCTCTCTCTCTTGATGTTTCTGCCACTTCAGGATAATGCTTCCTTTTGAAAGGAGAAATCAAATCACTTCCCTACTTCCTAATAATCTCTCCTCAACTGCTCTGTGCATCAGAGCTGATTTCATTACCTGCTGCCTGCTGCTGTTAGCTTTATTTAAAGCACAGGCATATAGTGAAAAAAGAATTCAGCATGAACTCCCTGAACTGCTGGGGGATGAATGCTTCACTGCATTGACATGGAGAAGCTGCTTCCCTTTCTTAAAACTAGCAGACTGAGCCAAGCATGGCAGGGAAGACTCCCACATCCAAACCTACATTTTCAATTACTATATGTGCTGAAAAGGAATTTTAAAATCATAGGCTGATATAATCAACACTGAACAGTTGAAGGGGAACCTGCAAAATATAACATCATAGACCATAGTAGTAGCAGGTGCAACAACTCCCAGCATGAACACTGAGTTGACTAGTTTCAAGTGTCTGCAAATCAGAAAGGAAAGCCAGTAAAAACAAGACTGTTCTTTCATTTGCATGGTTCAGGTTCTACTGTACTGATACTGATTGAAGCAAAAGCCTGGGCCAAATCAATGACTATCTATTGCCATACTTTGAAGCCTAATCCTCTCTGTATGGCTGTTTCAATAAACTGGACAACCTTTTCCTTTCTGAAATTATTTTACCTTTAGAAAGGTCCATTTACACAGTTGTGCATCACTGTCAGGCCAGGGAGCAGAGAAATCAGGCTAATTATGAGGAAATAAAATGGAACCCTCATTGCTCTTCCTATGAAAGATCTTTCTACTTAGCAATGTACTTAAAATAGATATTCAAGACTTGTCAAATTGAATTACCCCCAAAAAGTCAGTATTATCCACTATTGCAAATGTTCAAATTTGCCCAAGCATTATTAAATAAAGCTGCATTCCATGTATTTCTCTAACTGGAAATCAACATTACTGCCAAGAGTGCATATTTCCTGAGCCTTCAGTGATCAAGCGCACACATTTGTGAATAAAGAAGCATGTTGATCAGGATATGTACTCTCTTCTGGACTCTGACCTTGTAGCACCACAAATCCCACTTCTTGCACATATGTTGCTGTTTTGACAGTTGAGGACACTACAAGGCCACAGATGCAGCAAGTTCTGGGGTTAATTCTTCTGGACATATGTCAAAAGGAATAATCTAGATCCCCACCTAGCAAAAAGCAGTATGGAACTCACCTGTTCTTCTGAGAGCTGCGAGATGTGATTCACAGCAGCATAGGACTCTATCTTTGGATTGAAGTGATTGATGATGGCTCTAAAAACAAAGAGAGGATCTTTACACCATATGCAAGGGTTACAGAGAGATCTTCCCTCATCACCAGTGTTGAATTGAAGCTCTTTCAACTATATGATGCAGCTATGCTGCTGTTAGCTATATCTATATAGTATCAGTTCTACATGGAAAAATAATTAACTAAATTAGACTACTAAGCAGTTACTGGGTTGTCATCTTCTTCCATATTTTCTTACTGATCGTAAATTGGTCCTTAAAACTGTTCTCTTGAGCCTGGATATGATTTGGCAGTATATTTGTTTAGAAAGTACAGAGATATGCATACACAGAGTCTTGGTCTTTGTATAATCAACTACATATTTTTGTTATAGTTTTACCCTATTTCACAGACAAAAAATATTTCCAAGTGCTCCACAGCAATTAAAACATTACACAAAGCTACTGGAAGAAAGGACTCTAAATTGCACTTGAGTCCAGGCACAATAGCAGTTTTCCTACTTTCCAAGAGTAGTTTTCCTACTTTCTGATGGCCTAAATTTAAGCAATAAGCCCAGGATGTGGAGAATCCTGTATTTGAGTTCAGAATGCTCATTCCCCAAACTGCCTCTATTCTTGCATCAAACTCTAAAATAGCAATGCTGGGCTTAAGTCTGTCTATATATATGCTTCATGCTTACTAGTTCTTATTACATAAACTGAAATGAGCAGTCTCAGAATGTAGCTGAATCTCACAACAGTAGCACTGGCCTAGCAGTCATAATGCTAGAAGATCTCTAGCTCCAAGAAAATACTAAATATGAGGGAAAAAACTGATCAAAATTGTGTTCCTCCAAGTTAAATATTATCAGCCAAGACAAACCATATGAAGATACATCCACCTAGAAGTACCCTGCCTGCATTTTCAGGTGATGTTAAGTGAAACTCATCCAAACAACTACAAAACAAGATTCTTAAACATGGATCCTCAAACTACGGCCCAGGGGCCGGATCCAGCCCACCATGCCCATTTATCCAGCCCGCAATGCCCATTTTGACCCACTGCTGCCCACCCTGCCCCGTGCGCAAGGAGGCAGCGGTTTGCTTACTCAGAGAAAACGATCTCCAAGCGAGCAAGCCGCTGCCTCGTGCACCCGCCTTGCGGCACACGCCCGCCTCTGCCTCGCCCCGCACGTGCGCCGGCTCGCACCTCGTCTCCCTCGCCCCATGCGCCCGCCTGCACCTTGCCTCGCCTCCCCTCACCATGTGCCCCGCCCCTGCCTCAGCACACACGTCTGCACGTGCTGCCCCTGCCCCCTCGCCACTCCGCGCAAACCGACGGCACCACCTTTCCGGCCCGTGCCCGGCACTGGCACCTTTCAACTGGCCCCCTGGTGGAAAACTTTGAGGACCCCTGTTCTTAAAGGTATTTCTGATCCTGTGCTATCTATGTTGGCTGGGAAATAAAAAACTTTATCTGCAAAGCACATACCAGGTGTGAGAATCTAACAGCAGCAGAAGCAGCAGCAATGACAACAAAAGATTTCAAATAACTTTCACTAACTCTCCTTTTAAAATGTCTGGTTCAAATGCAAGGCTACTATGATTTATATACTGGGGAGCTAAATCAGTAAAAATGGAGATCAAAAATAAATATTCAAAGAGTATGCATTTAATTTTAATGGTTTATTAAATCATCAAGCTTTATGGTTTCATAGACCACATCCAGCTGTGATCTTTTGCAAGTCTGCTTTCCTTATGTTAAGTGTGATAACAACTGTTATACATGTATACAGTCATGGGAAAAGTCTATTATTGTATTACACTGTCAGGAAGTAAGGGCAAGTTGCTGTCCTTCTTCAAGTGGTAATTTGTTCGTTCACACATATGGGCTTTGCACCTGCATAGAGGCTTTTGTTGGGAAGATACCTCAGTGTCTGTTAAATACAGAAGTTCCTGTGCATTCCTTTAGGTCACTCAAGACTGCGAAGGTGGCCTCAGGACCAAGAGATAATAATTATGAACAACCATGAACTAGTCAAACTAGTGCTGGAAAACAAGAAACAGATCAGCATTTGATACCAAGTGGGGTTGGTGTGTAGGTTGTGTGACTGCACAGATGACCACTCAAAGAACGACAGTTAGAGGTAAGCAACTTCCATTTCTTTTTGTGGTCTCTGTGCATCGCACATATGGATGTGTTCTTGTCTCTGGAAAATACACTACCTCTGAGATGCAGTTAGAGTCAGACAAAGTTCCAGCTTTTATAATAATAAAGCACACTTGCTGTGGATTGAACAAAGCAAGTTAGTCTTAGTAGGCACCATCAGAAACCAGTCATTCAAGTATAGATAGACCTGGACTCCTTGAAGACATAGGCAAATGTATCCCACAGCTATGCATTTTATAAAAACTCTTGGGGCTATAGTTGTCCAAAGGACAACATGGAAAATTGTAAGGCTTCTCCTCCAACATGGAAGTGATGAAAATATCTGTAGAAATGTGCTATTGCTCCTCCCATTGTGCTTTTAATTGGGCTTCCCTCTAATGATGGCAGCAACCCAGTGGGTGCGCCTCCTCAAGGGGTGGGGGTTCTCTACTGGAAGAACTTCCCATGACAACATCCCTTCCCTCGGGCTGTATTGCTCCAATTCCCACTCCTCACTGTTAGCCTCTCCTTCCATCTGCCCTTGAGCTAATCTCCTCTTCTGCTATCTCCTATTTAGTTTCAGGACCCTTAACAACTCCCTGCAGTTCAATTCCATTGAAATAAACCATTTCTTCTCCTGAATCTGATTTTTTTAAAAAAAGGTGCTTCTCATGGGAACCCTTGCCAGAGCCTGCCTTTATGCTTACTCATAACACTCTCAGACCAATTTTTTATCAGGGAAATTTAATGGATTTTATTGTAGAGTTTCATTTTCGATGATGGGTTGAGCTCCTCTTACTGTACAGACAGAGCCAGAATTTGTTAGAAACTGGGACTGGTGGAGCATGACACATGCACCTTTTCCAGAAGACATACAACCAAGATAAAAAACACAGAATGTTAAAGAATAATTAACCACATAATAACTTATCAACCTCCAAAGAAAAGTAACAAGAGAGAAGTCTCCATAATTTAACATAACATCACTCTGCTTGAGACCAGAGGATAGATGGAATGGTATAGCTGGAGACTTGGAAAAGACTTGCTGTCTGCCACTAGTCAAGAATTATTTGGAGAAGGAAGTAGGGATTGTTTCTCCTCTTACTCTTAAAACACACACACACACCACGACCACCACCACCACCACCACCACCCCTTGACCCTCCCTGCAATAGTACAGCCTTCTCCCATGAAAGAACTGCTCTCTTCAACAAGCTGGATCAAAGTTGGATTTCACCTGTGTATTCCAGCATCATAATGCAGAACTAATGTTTCTTGACCACAAAAATAATTCATTTTGCTGTGGATTAAAAATTATTGATTTGTTACCAACTAAATCAAGCTTGACCTTTTATCTCTACCCTGATATGGTAAAGCAAAAGAGTATTTGGTATTCATGGGATGCTGGTAAGGAACTTTCATAAACAGGTAACATGAGTGTGCTTTGACTGAGATAATGTTTAAATCCAAACTGCCCAATTAATTCTTATTCTACATCACTTCCTGCATGAGAGTGGAGAGTCTGCTATACGTAAGATTCTTGTGAGTGTTCTCAAAATATTATTTTGAGGTGTAGGAAGCTCATCAGCTGCGCTATGGACATTTCAGTCTTCCCTTATAGAAGGGTTCTTCAATTTTTCGGGACCTATATGCACATCTGGGAATTTGAAAAACTGCTGTGGGCACCACCACAAAATGGATCTTAGGTTGTATCTTATTCAGCAAAAATGTCACGTGTTTATTCAAGACTGCAATACTTCCTTACTAATAGATTAAATCAACTAATTATTGGCAGTGCAATGCAGCTAATACTTATTTTAGATTTAGGTTTTGGCAATGCTTCTTTTGGGGAGGAGATTATTACACAGATAAGTTTTATACTGGAATAGTCTTTAAAATTCAGTGATGTACATGCGTTTTTAATTTACTTAACTGTTTCATAGAAATTAACAAATGGAGGGGGAAATGCATTATCTGCTCACTTTTGATAGCTGAAAACCTGATATTACAAAGCTGAAAAGATAACATTTACGCCCTGCAATGCAATGGATTGAGGACCTAACAATGTTTTTGATATATAAACAAGTGCAATATAGAGATCAACTTCAAACAGATACTTATGTGGTATTTAGTCAGCTTTTGCCAAAGCTTACAAAGCTTGTATGCATTGCATACAAATCCATGTACATATGTAACCAAATGTGGATTTTTAAAGGCAATTACAATTTTATTTATTTATTTATTTATTACATACATTTATACCCCGTCCTATTGCTTCAAGCACTCAGGATGGCTTACAAGATATAAAAATACAATAAATGTAAAACATTAATTATTAAAACAATATAAAGCAATTAAAAAGCTTTTCCTGGCATGGCAGTAAGCAGTGGGAAAAGTTTCACCTTGTTAGTCCATAAAAGACATAGGAGGGTTTAAGAAGTGGTCACTTTGGTGGTATATACTGGCCAAGTTGTCCTTCTTGGTTTTAGATCAACATCCAAAGGGCCAATCTCTTCAAAGTTCCCATATCCACAACCTGAAGCCCCTGGGCCTCCCTGAAGCCACATGATAAGAGGAAGCTCTGTGAAATTCCGGGAAGGGTTGTCTGCATAGTACAGCCACCAAAACATGCTCGCATTGCTTCTGAAGGGAGTGTACCTCCATGCCTGCTTTGGCTCTTTAGGTTCCTTTATCAAAAAACCGAAGCTCACAGTTATCAGACAGAACAGTAGAATATAATTCTGTTTCAGCAACATCTTAGCAACAATAGGGCGATTTCCTGGGTAGAAATCATATGACTCCAGTTCCTTGTCAGCTGCTTCTGACATGAGTCAGACCCTTCCTTTCTTGTCCTTAGGCTCCAAAACACTGGACAGTCCTTTACAATGCAGATTTT